CCCAAGCCTCCGCTTGGTTTCCCTGATGTAGAGGATGCCACAACGGGTACAGCGGATGCAGTATACCACATTGGCAGATGTGCAGGTGAACATCTGCTTGATGTGGAAAGTCTTCTTGGGGCCTGGGATGGGGGTGAGGGAGGAGGTATGGGGGCAGGTGTAAAACTTCCTGCGGTTGCAGGGAAAAGTGCCGGGTGTGGTGGAGCTGGAGGGGAGTGTGGAGCAGACAAGGGAGTCACGGAGAGAGTGGTCCCTCCGGAAGGCAGATAAGGGTGGGGAGGGAAAGATATCTTTGGTGGTGGGGTCGGATTGCAGATGGCGGAAGTGTTGGAGGATGATGCATTGGATCCGGAGGTTGGTGGGGTGGTACGTGAGGACGAGGGGGATTCTTTTTTTGGTTGTTATTGCGGGGACGGGGTGTGAGGGATGAGTTGCGGAAAATGCGGGAGACACGGTCGAGGGCGTTCTTGACCACTGTGGGGGAAGAAGTTGCTGTCCTTGAAAAACGCGGACAACTAAGACGTACGGGAATGGAATGCCTCATCCTGGGAGCAGATGCGGCGGAGGCGAAGGAATTGGGAATCGGGGATGGCATTTTTGCAGGAAAGTGGGTGGGAGGAGGTGTATTCTAGGTAGCTGTGGAAGTCGGTGGGCTTGAAATGGATATCGGTTTCTAGGTGGTTGCCCGAGATGGAGACAGAGGGGTCCAGGAAGGAGAGAGAGGTATTAAAGATGGTCCAGGTGAACTTAAGGTTGGGGTGGAAGGTGTTGGTGAAGCGGATGAACTGTTCGAGTTCCTCGTGGGAGCACGAGGCGGCACCGATACAGTCATCAATGTAACGGAGGAAGAGGTCGGGTTTAAAGCCAGTGTAGGTACGGAAGAGGGATTGTTCTACCTAACCTACAAAGAGGCAGGCATAGCTTGGGCCCATGCGGGTACCCATGGCCACCCCCTTTGTCTGTAGGAAGTGGGAGGAATTGAAAGAGAAGGTGTTGAGGGTGAGGACAAGTTCGGCTAAGCGGATGAGGGTGTCAGTGGAGGGGGACTGGTTGGGCCTGCGGGACAGGAAGAAGCGGAGGGCCTTTAGGCCATCTGTATGGGGAATGCAGGTGTATAGGGACTGGACGTCCATGGTAAAGATGAGGTGTTGGGGACCGGAGAATTGGAAGTTCTGGAGGAGGTGGAGGGCGTGGGTGGTGTCACGGACATAGGTAGGGAGTTCCTGGACCAAGGGGGAGAAAATGGAGTCCAGATAGTTGGAGATAGGTTCGGTGGGGCAGGAGCAGGCGGAGACAATGGGTCGACCAGGGCATTCAGGTTTGTGGATTTTGGGAAGGAGATAGAAGCGGGCGATGCGGGGTTGAGGAACGATGAGGTTGGAGGTCACCTGAGGTGATGAGGTTGTGGATGGTTGGGAGATGATGGTTTGGTGCTCGGGGGTAGGGTCATGATCAAGGGGGCAGTAGGAGGTGGTGTCGGAGAGTTGGCGTCTGGCCTCGGCGATGTAGAGGTCAGTGCGCCATACTACAACTGCACCTCCCTTGTCCGCGGGTTTTATGGTGAGGTTGGGATTGGAGCGGAGGGCTGCACGTTCTGTGGGGGAGAGGTTGGAGTGGGTGAGGGGGGGTGGAGAGGTTGAGGCGATTGATGTCTCGACGACAGTTGGAGATGAAGAGGTCAAGGGAGGGTAGGAGGCCTTGGGGTGGTGTCCAGGAGGAGGGGGTGTGTTGGAGGCAGGAGAAGGGGTCAGTAGAGGGAGGGTTAGGCTCACAATTGAAGAAGTAAGCGTGGAGGCGGAGGCGGCGGAAAAACTGCTCTATGTCCAAACGTGACCGGTATTCGTTGATGTGTGGGTGGAGGGGGACAAAGGTGAGCCCTTTACTGAGGACTGACCGTTCGTCCTCAGTAAGGGGGAGGTCTGGGGGAATGGTGAAGACTCGGCAGGGCTGAGTGCTATTGTCCCCTCTGAAGCTGCTGGCTGTGGAGGTGGTGGGCGGAGCGACGTCGGCAGTGGGCGGAGTTGCATCGGCGGCGGTGATGGACGGAGCGGCATAGGTGGCGGCAGCAGCGGTGACGGTAGGCGCGACTTCAGTGTCTGTGGTGTTGGTCTCGGAAATGGAGGCGGTGACATCGGCAGCGATGGCGTTCGCTGTCCCGGAAGTGGGGTACCCGGCGGTGGCGGATGTGACGTCATCTGTGGGTTCTCCGACAGTGGCCTCATGGCCAATGGCGGTGGGCACATTGTGGGGAAGGTCCTGGGTAGGGTTGGGGATTTGGGGGGTGGAGGAAGCCCGTTTTGGGTGGTAGGCACCAGTAAGTTTACTGTACTTACGGTTTTTAGTGTCCAATAAAGCTGAGTAGAATTGAGAGTTCAGGTTGTGGATCCTACGAAGAATAAAAAAAAGGGAGGGGTCCTTTGCAGGTCTGGGAGAGGGAGGCTCTGAGCTGGGGAAGGCTTGATTGTAGTACCTGGAGATGCTGGCGCATTGCTGCGAGTGTGTGTTTCAGGAGTCGCAGGGAGACACGCTTCTGAAGGATCTCAATGCTATGAATGTAGATATTGTCACGGTTGGGGCCAAATTGGGAAGGCTTGAATGTGGATTGTAGTCCATTGGGGATGATCTGGTTCCATAGGCAGGTACTAAGAAAGGTGATGAGGCTGTAGTACCTGGTTTGCTTCAGGACATGGTCGAGCAGTTTCAAGGCCGAAGAGATTACGAGAGAGTTGCAGTGGGAGAGAGATCCCCTGAGGTTTGTCCGGAGGGAGGAGGGTAACTTCTTCAGGCTAGGCATCCTTAGAAGAGGCTTCGAATTTTCTTCCCATTTTCTTGTTTTTTGTTTGCAGGTTTTGCTTTTTTTTTTTTATTATTTTTGCTTTTGGACAGCAGTGCACCTCATTTCTTGTCCCATCACCATTCCCTTTGGCCATGTAAAATTAACTTTTCTGTCATTCGATCTCACCTGTCTTCTACTCTATTGCAGATTTTCCTTTGTCTTTGTCTCATCAACCTCTCATTTAAATTCTAATCACTTTTTTTTCACTTTTCATAAAATGTCTGTAACCTGAAATGTTTACTCAGTTTCTTTTTCCAGAGATGTTGCTGGATCTGCTAACTATTTTTCCAAGGATTTTCTATTTTTGCCAGTACTATCTTTAGGTTACCTCAGATACAAACGATGTGATCTATATTTTACAAAACCCCACCATTGAACAGGTGCTACAAGAACAGCTGGTCCTCATTGTATAAATGGGCAACTTGGAAACAATGGAGCAGGTATAGCAATAACAGAACTGTATGGCACAAGATTTGGTGACCAATCACAAATGTTATTTGAAAGCAACTTCAGAAATAATTCATTCTGAGAATGTTGCTCACAAAGTCAGCATTCCTTAACACTCCAGGTGATAGTAGTGGACATCACCTTCTTGAAATGCTGCTGGCTGAGTGGTGAAGATATGCCCACAGTACTGTTAAATGAAGAATTTGAGAAGTTTGACTCAATGATAACAAAGGAACAGCAAAATAAGTCAGAGTTGGAACAGTACATAACATGTAGTTTGGAGGCGTTACCACAAGCCAGTGTAAATGTGCTAACTCTATGCGTAAGTCCTAGGCCCTTCTGTAATGTTGGGAAAGGAAAGAAAGAGACCCAGGCAGAAGATTACACTAAACTGATAGGGGGTGAAGGAGAATTAGCTATGCAGCTTCCAGCACTCCCACTAAAGGAGAACTTTGATATCTTTGTCTTTACCGATGCAGAGTCCTTTACCTTACAGCATATAGCAGGATTAAGTAGTCTTACCCAATGAGAAATTACCAGTATTCACCTTGAAACAAAGTATGACCAGTTAAGCTAACTTACGTGGTCTACCTTCAGTTCCTCCTAAAATCGCCAGTCTTGCTGACATCAAGCCAAATCCTAGGTAACTGAAAATGGAAAGCAATTAGAGCGAAACATAGGACAGTAAATTGATCGCCAACATAAAAATCTGTTGTTCTTACATTGATAAATTGTTCTAATAAGCTACAAGACATGTAATATAACTGGTGTTTAGATAAACCCTATATATTTAGACAGATGACATTCATATGAAGTTAGACTACACTCTGAAATTCTCAGTCCAAAGAATGTGCACAGTTGTAATAATTTTAACTACTTAAAAGTAATAGTAGGAAAATAAGCAGTTGAAAACTATTCAATAATCATTCAAGTACACAAGGAAAGTTAAACTAAATAGCTGGACAGAGTAGATAGGGAGAAGAAATAGTAGGAACTGCTGATGCTGGAGTCTGAGATAACAAAGTGTGGAGCTGGAGGAACAAGCAGGCCAGACAGCATCAGAGGAGCAGGAAAGCTGGTATTTCGGGTCTGGACCCTTCTTCAGATAGAGAGAAGGTAGGTAGGTAGATTGGGAGAAGCTGTACTTGCTTGCAAAATAATGAGGGGATGTAGATTTAGAGTGATGAGCAAAAGAAGCGAGGATGATGTGAGAAAAACATTTTCATGAGTAGTTGGATTTGGAAAGCATTGCCTGGAAATGTGGTGGAGGCAGGTTCATTTGAGAGCAGTGGATGATTATTTGGATAGAAATTACGTGCAGGGATTTGGGGAAAAGACAGGATATTGGCAGTGGATAATATAACCATAAAACCCATGCAGAACAGCCTTCTATACCATAGCAATTTGGTGATAAAAATTTTACAATGGAGGAAGAGACCATCTCCCATCACACTTGTGCTGGCTGACAACAGCTATCCATTTTATCCTACTCCTCCATCCTTTCTAATATTAAATCATATCCTACTTGAAAACAGTTACAGATTCTGCTTATATGGAACACATTACCTGTTGAAAAATTAATGATATTTGAATGTACAATGAACTTAGAGGTTTCTAAATTTACCTTCCCCTTAAACATATTTGACAACTGCTTCAATCTGATTCAACAAACTTTGGATTCTGTCTTCCCTTTCTTCATTCTCCCTAGATGTTGCTTAATTTCTTTGTTTGATGACCTGGATGTCCATCCTACCTTCCAGAACATCGATCCAGACATCGTAGCTAATTTCCCAATATGCTGTAGCATCTTTTACCTACTATACCTACCTAAATTTGAAGTAAGGCATTATACTATACAGTACAAAATATCATTACCCAGCTTATGAATTTTGAGAGTTTTAAAACTGAAGATTGCACCTTGTAGCAAAAAGTATTACACATTAAGAGTTTTTAAAAGATGTTATAGATTGAAAATATTGCATGAGAGAAGTACTGACACCTTACTGAAAAAGACGTTAACTCAATAGAGAAATAAACTTAATCAGGACTTTCCCAAATAAAATTCACAAAATCGTTTGCATAGCCATTTGATAACTTCATATTTTCAATCTGTGCCCCCAACACAGGTGATAGCGTCCGTTTTTCATGACGGTGCCCTAAGATCCATCTGCACATTGCAGGTGCACCAACTGTGACAGGAATAGGAAGACAGTTTTGCAAAATGTGTTTACAGTCAATTTACTGTCCTATGTTTTGGTCATATTGGATTAATGCAAAAAGCTTTCGAAGCACTTTCAAAAAAGTTGCAACAAGTGTATCAAATAGTAGGCATTAAACCTGGACTTTAATGTCATTGATATGTTAACCAGACTGATTTCAGGGCAATTTAAAAATAGAAAGACAAAGTAGACAGCCCCAAAAAGCAATCAAAAGCTTGCCAAATGACAATAAAGTACATCGGGTCTATTAAAACACAGGAGAAAAGATCCATAAAAAATTCCAAACAGTCTGTACTTTGAAGGCTACACACAAGGACTCCTCGAAAATGTATTATTTGTTTAGCCCTAATTACAGTTATTTACCATAGCAGTACAGGAAGGCAGCAGCTCATCACCACTTCTCCAGGCCATTTTAGGGATGGGCAATAAGTATTAGCCTAGCCACATCCCAAGGAAAAGAAAAATAACTCTAACGTAAGTGAAATCCAAACAAGAAGCTGGGCCAGGAATTATAGCCCCATGATCAAAACCTGAAAAATCTTGAATATCATGAAGCAATTTTATAAGTACAAGATTCTGTAGATATATTTATCAATATTCTCCACTCCTTATCCTAAACAAGAGCACTTTTGTAACAACCCCAAGTTGTGAATTTTAAGGTTAGTTTCTGTGGTCAAGGCCCAACAATCTGTTCTTTATGATGGTTTCACAATGTTATATTGGATTTTGAGGAACTGGTTGGAGAACGTAACATATATTGATGCACTTGGAGAAGCAGTATTCTGCTTTAACAGCAATTAATGAACAATAAACCTTGACAGTTTCAATGCTTCTAAAAAACATCAAAATGAGCGCTCCAAGTATGTTAGGGTTGAAATACTCAAGAAATCAGAAACAAAACCTTGTAGGATGATGCATTTGACGATAAACTAGCTAAAGAACTTAGAAAAACTCTGACAGGATATGTTTTGATGTGCAAATTCATACAAGGTGACTCCCGTTTTTTACATTTATTGTCCTGAGGGCATTACTGTAGGTCTGGGGTCACAAGCAGGCCAGACCAGCTAAGGACCGCAATTCGCGTTCCTAAAGGAAATAAGTGAACCAGACAGGATTTTTCTGACAATCAACAACAGTTTTATGGTTATTATTGGACTCTTAATTCCAGTTTGATATTGAATTCAAATTCTACCATCTGCCTGGATTTGAATCTGGGATCCTAGAACTTTTCCTAGGTCTTTTTTTGATTAAATAGTCTAGCAATAACACACTAGGTCATCCATCCCCAGGTCTCCTCTACACTTATGAATTGCAAAAAATAACTAGGAGTTAACTCACTGAACTGTCTGAGTTTTCGTATGGAAACGGGAACACCATGAAGCCTCAGACACGTCTCTGGTCTATACTACTGCTACTTGTTTCTTGAAGGAAACATTCACATTTCTAGTCTAAAGTGACTTCAAAGTTAGGTGAGAACAAACAAGGATATACAAACAGGTAGGTGATGACCTAACGGTATTATTGCTAGACTATTAATCCAGAAACCCAGCTAATGTTCTGGGGACTTCGATTCGAATCCCACCACAGCAGATGGTGGAATTTCAATTCAATAAATTTAAAATAGTCTGGAATTAAGACTTTCACCATGAAATCATTGTCGACTGTCGGAAAAAAACCCATCCAGTTCACTAATGTCCTTCAAGAAGGAAATCTGCCACCCTCACCTAGTCTGGCCCACATGTGACTCCAGACACACAGAAATGCGGGTGACTCTCAATTGCCCTCCGAAATGGCCTAGCAAGCCACAGTTGTACCAATCGCTACAAAGTCTCAAAGAAATGAAACCGGATGGATCACCTGGCATCGACCTAGGCATTGGAAAAGTCAACAGTAGAAACAGCCCTGTCGACCTTGCAAAGTCCTCCTCACTAACATCTGGGGGTTAGTGCCAAAATTAGGACAGCTGTCTCACAGACTAGGTAAGTAACAGCCTGATATTGTCTGTAAGGTATGATTCTGAGAGTATGACTGTGACTATGTCGCAGACACCCTGGATATGTCCTATCCCACCAGAGGTGGCGGCACAGTGGTTTACAGTCAGGAGGGTGTTTCTCTAGGTGTCCTCAACATTGACTCCGGATCCCATGAAGTCTCATGGCTTCAGGTTAAACATGGGCAAGGAAACCTGATTACCACATACCATCCTCCCTCAGCTGATGAATCAGTACTCCTCAATGTTGAACAATACTTAGAGGAAGCACGGAGGATGGCAAGGGCACAAAATGTACTCTGGGTGGGGGATTTCAATGTCCACCACCAAGAGCAGCTCGGCACTCGATCAGCAATACTACTGATTGAGCTGGTTGGGTCCTAAAGGACATGTCGCAGACCCAGTCTAGCAGCTAGGTGATGAGAGAACCAACAACTGGGAAAAACGTACTTGACCTCATCCTTACTAATCTACCAACTGCAGTTGCATCTGTCCATTACAGTATTGGTAAGATTGACCATCGCACAGTCCTTGTGGAGATGAAGTTCCGCCTTCACATCAAGAATAACAACCATTGTGTTATATGGCACTATCACCGTGCTAAATGGGACAGACTTCGCACAGATCTAGTGACTCAAGTCTGGTCTTCCATGAGGTGCTGTGGGCCATCAACAGCAGCAGAATTGTAGTCCAGCACAATCTGTAACCTCATGGCCCGGCATATCCCCCACTCAACCATTACCATCAAGCCAGGGGATCAACCCTGGGTCAATGGAGAGTGCAGGAGGGCATGCCAGGAGCACCTGAAGAGGTGGTATCAACCTGGTGAAGATACCAAACAGGACTACTTGCATACCAAACAGTGAAAGCAGCAAGGGATAAACAGAGCTAAGCGATCCTACAACCAACGGATCAGACCTGAGCTCTGCTGTCCTGCCACATCCAGTCGTGAATGGTGGTGGACAATTAAACAACTCACTGGAGGAGGCGGCTCCACAAATATCCCCATCCTCAATGATGGAAGAGCCCAGCACATCAGTGCCAAAGGTAAGGTTGAAGCATTTGCAGCAATCTTCAGCCAGAAGTGCCGAGTGGATGATCCAGCTCAGCCTCCTCTAGTGGTCCCCAGCATTATAGATACCAGTCTTCAGCCAATTTGATTCACTCCATGTGATATCAAGAAACGGTTGGAGACACTGGATACTGCAAAAGCTATGGGCCTTGACAACATTCCAACAATAGTACTGAAGACTTCTGCTCCAGAACTTGCTGCTCCCCTAGCCAAGCAGTTCCATTACAGTTACAACACTGGTATCTACCCAATAATGTGGAAAATTGCCCAAGTGTGTCTTGTACACAACGCAGAACAAATGCAACCCAGCCGATTAGCACCCCATCAGTCTACTCTCAATCACCAGTAAAGTGATGGAAGGTGTCATTAACAGTGCTATCAAGCAGCACCTGCTCAGCAACTCCCAGTTTGGGTTCTGCCAGGGCCACTCAGCTCGACTTCATTACAGCCTTGGTTCAAACATGGACAAAAGACCTGAATTCCAGAGGTGAGGCAAGAGTGACAGCCCTTGATATCAAGGCTGCATTTGACAGAGTGTGGCATCAAGGAGCCCTAGCAAAACTGAAATCAAAAACTGGGATCAGGGGGCAAACTCTCCAGTGGTTGGAGTCATACCTGACACGTATGAAGATGGTCGTGGTTGTTGGTGGTCAATCATCTCAGCTCCAAGACATCTCTGCAGCAGTTCCTCAGGATAGTGTCCTAGGCCCAACCATCTTCAGCTTCTTCATCAATGACCTTCCCTCCATCAAAAGGTCAGAAGTGGGGACGTTCACCGATGACTGCACAATGTTCAGCATCATTCGTGACTCCTCAGATACTGAAGCAGTCTATGTTCAAATGCAACAAGATCTGGACAATATCCCGGCTTGGGCTGACAAGTGACATTCACGCCACAGAAATGCCAGGCTATGACCATCACCGATAAGAGACAATCTAACCAACACCCCTTAACATTCAATGGTGTAACCATCACTGAATCCCCCACTAACAACATCCTGGGGATTATCAACCAGAAACTCAACTGGACTCACCACATAATCACAGTGGCTACAAAAGCAGGCCAGAAGCTCGGAATACTGCGGTGACTAACTCACCTCCTGTCCACCATCTACAAGGCACAAGTCAGGTGTGTGATGGAATACTCCCTCAGTTGCCTGGATGAGTTCAGTCCCAACAATGCTCAAGAAGCTTGGCACTATCCAGGACAAAGCAGCCCGCTTGACTGGCACTACATCCACAAGCATCCACTCCCTCCACCACCAATGCTCAGTAGCAGCGTGCGTACTATCTACAAGATGCACTGCAGAAATTCACCAAAGATCCTCAGACAGTACCTTCCAAACCAATGACCACTTCCATCAGAAGGACAAGGCAGCAGACATATGGGAACACCACCAGCTCCAAGTTCCCTTCCAAGCCACTCACCATCCTGACTTGGAAATATAATCGCCTTTCCTTCACTGTTGCTGGGTCAAAATTCTGGAATTCCCTCCCTAATAGCATTGTGGGTCTGCAGCGGTTTAAGGCAGCAGCTCACCACCACCTTCTCAAGGGCAACTAGGGATGGGCATGAAATGCTGGCCAAGGCAGCGATGCCCACACCCCACAAATGAATAGAAAAAAAACTACACTTAAAATGCCATATACATTTAATTATAATTTGAATAAAATAACTTAATTTGTTTTCTCATTGCTTAGATTCAAAAGCTTGTCATATACAATTTTTAGCTTGTTCAATCATGATGCAGGATGTAGTAGAATCAGAAAGAACAATAGTACTAACCTGTGAGAGTAAAGTGTGTAAGTGCTATTGAACATCTGAATTGAGGTAATATAATTAACGGGAGAGGTCTGGAGTGTCATCTGTGGGAAAAGCCGAAACATTACTCAAAATGATTGGAGTTCTAAAGGATAAGACCGATAATAGAAGCACAATACCACATAATATCTTACTGTAACTAAGCGTACACTATAAAAATCAAACAACTTCCACTTTTGAGAACAAAGGCTGAAGACTACATATTTTACAGTCTGACAAAATCAGAATACAATTCTTAGCATGACAATTGTTGACTGGAAGCAAATACATGAGAGCAAGTAGTACGTACACTGTGCATTAACACAGTCAATTATTTACTTTTGAAGTGCATATGTTTTTATGCAAGTAAATGCAACAAGTTGAGCATAGTAGAGAGTCACAAATAGATGAATACCCTGTTAAACTGCTTTTGGTTATCGTGACTGGATCTCCCTATTCCTCTTCAAGTAGTACCATGGGATATTTTACAATTCTGGTTGAACAGCTCATGTGCACCATCAATGCAACAATTTCACTTATCGCTGAACAGAACGTATTGTGTTCAAGTCTCAAAAGTAGGTCTTGACCCACAACCAAATATAAAGATATGTCACTTTGTACAGGACATATTTTAAAGTTTGAGAAGATTTGTAGCTTGTGTCGTGGATGAGATTGTAGACATGCACGCAGAGCCTGTGGGTTTGGTTGCAAACGTTTCGTCACCCTACTAGGTAACATCGTCAGTGCACCTCTGGTGAAGCGTTGATGTTCTGTCCTGCTTGTTATTTATATGCCTCAGTTTGTTGGGATGTTTGGTACCACTTCCGGTTCGGTTTCTCAGTGGTTTGTACACAGGGTCTAATTCAACGGGTTTGCTGGAGTTCCGATTAGAGTACCAGGCCTCCAGGAATTCCCTGGCGTGTCTCTGTTTGGTTTGTGCGATTATGGATGTGTTGTCCCAGTCAAATTGATGTCCCTCTTTGTCAGTATATAGTGAGACAAGTGGGAATTGGTCATGTCTCTTGGTGACTGGTTGGTGTTCATGTATCCGTGTTGTCAGTTTTCTTCCGGTTTGGCTATGTAATGTTTCTCTCAATCCTTGCATGGTATTTTGTATATTACACCAGTTTTGCTGGTTTTGGGTATGGGATCCTTTACATTCATCAGTAGCTGTCGTAGGGTGGTTATTGATTTGTGGGCTACCCTGTTACCTAGGAGTTTCAGTAGTCTTGTGGTCATCTCTGAAATGTCCTTGATGTAGCGTAATTAGTGAGTCTGGTCGTGTTGTGTCTTCCTGTTGTGGCCTCTCTCGGACGTAACAGTGGATTGTGCTTTTAAGGTATCCATTCCTTTTGGGGACTCTGTATAGGTGCTCCTGTTCTGCTTTTCACAGTTCCGGGTTGCTGCAATGTGTTGTGGCTCGTTTAAATAGTGTCCTGATGCAGCTCCGTTTGCTGGCATTGGTGAGTATCTGGCCCATATGTGTGGTCTTTCTATATACGCTAGTCTGGAGTTCTCCGTAGTTACTGTGTTCTACCATTACGTCCAGGAAGGGTAGTCGATTGTTCTCTTCTTTTGTGGACTTCATGTTATGATCAATAATGCCCACAACTACCTCCACAAATACAAGTGGGAAACTGCTTTGGAGTACAGAGTTTTTTGGCATGCAACCAACCAGGAATGGACATCCACACTGGAACAAGTCATCAACATACAACAACAAAAGACCAGAACAAGGAAAAGAATAGCCCTGCAAGAAAAACAGTCCAAAATCACCCACAAATGACACAGATAACATAGATTCATGGATTAAGAACATCTTGTGACCAATCACTTACAGACACGGAGAAAACTATCCTAGTACATGGACTGAATTATAACAGACACCAAAAAAGTCTGACTTCCTGGCTGTGCTGGAATCAACACTAAATGCAATGGACTCACAGAAGTACAACAGACCATCAGACAGACGATAGGCCCAACACTGAGCAAAGGAAAGTGGAACACATTCAACAAGCCCTGGAAAGACTCAACAAAGACAGGAACGTTGTAATGTGACCAGCGGACAAAGGACGCATGACAGTAAGCCTCAATACAGCCCAATACATCAAGAAAACTTATGCATGACAAGCAGATATTGACGCCTACCAACTGATGGCGATAGACCCAACACCACAGTTAGGGAATCAGATTACAACGACCCTGAAGAAATTACACAACTCATGAGACATCAACAAGACAGACTACCAAAAAAATGAAGTCAAAGGGATCCAACACACCCTACTTCTGCGGGCTCTCCAAGGTATACAAACTGGGGGTCCCCTTCAGACTCATTGTCTCACTACCAGGCACACCAACATATAGACTTGCCAAAGAACTACAATAGAAATTAAAATACTTAGTTGACAACACAACCCATTCCATCCACTCCTCAACATCATCAAGGACACCAGGATAGAAGAGGATGAGATAATGATATCCTTCAACGTAACAGCACTATTTACATGGATAAACATCGACCTAGCCAAAGAGACAATTGCCACACTACTGGACGAATCAAGTAGGCAGGCAACCCCAGGACACCAACATCATCAATAAAGGACACCACCATGAAACTATTAGATCTGTGCCTCACAACCCACTTCACCTTCAACTACTGCATATACAAACAAATCATTGGAATACCAATGGGATCCCCAGTATCAGGACTGATTGCAGAAGCAGTAATGCAAAGGTTAGAACGGACAACACTTCCCACTATTCAACCCAAACTTTGGGTCCGATATGTAGACGCCTTTGGTAATTATCAAATGCACAAAACTAGAAGAATCCTGCTGACACATAAACAACATCCTCACCGGGATAAAATTCACAAAAGAAGAGAACACCACCGACTACTCGTCTTGGACATAATGGTAGAACGCAAAAACAACAGGGAACTCCAGATTATTGTACATAGAAGAACCACACGAGAGGACCAGATACTCAATTACACTAGCAACCACCCCAATGCCCACAAACGGAGCTGCATCAGGGCGCTATTTAAACAAGCCACAACACGTAGCAGCAACCCAGAACTACGCAAAGCAGACCAGGAGCACCTAAACGGAGTCTTCAAAAGGAATGGACACCTGAAAAGCACAGTCGACTGTTACCTCCGAGACAGACCACAACAGGAAGACACAACGTGACCAGACTCACTAATTACCCTACGCTACATCAAGGACATTTCAGAGATGACCACAAGACTACTCAGACCCCTAGGTATCAGGGTAGCCCACAAACCAACAACCACCCTACAACAGCTAATGACAAACGTAAAAGGATCCCATACCCAAAACCAGCAAAACCAGTGTAAGATACAAAATACCATGCAAGGATTGCGAGAAACGCTACATAGGCCAAACCAGAAGAAAACTGACAACACGGATACACGAACACCAACCATTCACCAAGAGACACGACCAATTCCCACTTGTTTCACTGCACACAGACAGAGAGGGACATGAATTTGACTGGGACAACACATCCATCATCGCACAAGCCAAACAGAGACATGGCAGGGAATTCTTAGAGGCCTGGTATACTATCCGGAACTCCATCAATAAACACATTGGACCCTGTGTACAAACCACAGAAACAGAACTGGGAGTGATACCAACACCCCAGCAAATTGACGCATATAAATAACAAGCAGGACTGAACATCAACGCTTCACCAGAGGTGCACTGACGATGTTACCTAGCAGGGTGACGAAACTTTTGCAACCAAATCCACCGGCTCGGCAAGCATGTCTACAACCTCGTATTTTAAGTCAATTATGTAGAAATTACATTGACTGAGCTGCAATAAAGCAAACCTGAGCACAGTGACATTGCCACATAACCTTGGTCTTTATATGTAATTTTCATTTTTCAGCATCTAAAGGAAGTGTACAGTTAAGGCAGCACTGGAAAGTATAAATATGTTAATCTGCAAAATGATGCTGTACTCAATTGCGACATTGACAAAACTGTAAAAAAAAAACTTCCCTTTTTCACAAGCACAATTCCCTTGCTGAAACCAAACAGCACCCTTCACTTTTTTTTGAAGAAGAAGAAGATCAGTTTGAAGATCAGCTGAAAATAGAAACTCTGTGGGGAAATTCCTGGAAGAAATCCTGCAAACTGTCATTCTACAGTGAAATACTTCATTGTCCTGCTTCATTGGACGCACTCCAATTCCAGTTTATTTTGCTGGGCAAGTTACTGAAATCACTTGTAAAAAGCAAAGACTTGAGGAACACCAAAGGCTTGTTGCATCTAATCTTTTGTTCACGGAAACAAAAACTCTTCTGTTTCACGTGCAAGACCCCCTTCCAAAAAGCCTTGGTTGACATGGCAACTGATGCAGAGCTTCCAGATTCAGGTTGACTTGGTTCTGCAGAATAATTTGTCAGAACAAGAAAAAACCAAATAATTTTTAGGTTGGTTCAAGGTATCAAAATGTGCAATCCCATGGAATCCCAAATAGCTATACAGTATATATTAACTGCAGTAGAAGAAACCACCACTAGATGGAAATAGAGCTTCAGGTGCGATCTCACAAGAAATTTTAAGTGTAGGATTATAAAAACTGCACTGGTAATTTGTTAAATACAGATTCTGCTTCTGATGTGCAATACGATCAGTAAGGTTGGATTAAAAATAGTAACCAGCAAGTTGTGAAATACAAACATAATCATTCTTTAGGCATATGTTGCCAGATGTCATCAGCACAAACCAACACTGAAACCAATTAAATTCCTCAGAAGTACTTAGTAAACACAAGGAAGGATGGATTAAGGTCTCTTTGCAGTTCTTTTAATAAAAAAAAACTTGCACTCAGGAAGTTCAAAGTTAGGAAATGGATCACATTCTCATGTTTACTGGAAGTATTAGGTAGGACCAGAATAGGCAAGGGTAAGAATTGAGGCAAAGCAGACTCAGTGCTAACCACCTAGCTTTGAGAATACTTCCCCATTACATCAGATTGTTGGGCGTCCATTCAAACTAACTTTACACATAGCAGCACGAAACATTTATATTCTGACCACTTTGGTTGGATTCTAAATCCATTGAGGATGGAGAGACAGAGTACACAACCAGTATTGCCATTCTATCGCGCGCGCGCACACACTCACACACCTCTCCAATCTCCCAGCCAAATCCAGGGTAATCCATAAGATTCAGTTCCAGTTTTAAGCATGAGAATATGCCACCACTACCTTAAACCCACTAACTTTATTGTAAATCTGAATCACCACAGGGTCTCCATGATCCACCATAATATATTCTTGAAGGCAATAGCTGGAGCATTGGATGGAGACAGCGTATTGAAGTATTGTAAAGCAAATTAGACTGTTTTTGAAAAAGGTACAATTTGCAGGATTACAGGGAGCATGGCACCATGTCAGACAATCACAGAACTAGTACAGATACAATGGGCTGAATGGCCTTCTTCTATACTGTAATAATTCCAATATATCACTCGTAGACATTTAGGTGAGATGTAAGTTTTGGGGGGGGGGGGGGGGGGGGGGGAGGTATTAGGTAGGAGCAGAAAAAAAAAAATAAAAAAAAAAAAAAAAAAAAAAAAAAAAAAAAAAA